GTATCTGTTTATTGAAAGAAATTGTTTAAATTAAACAGATTGCTACTAAAACCCCACCACTAGATCTTTCATTGTTCTATTAGAAAAGAACGCATCAACTGTGCCAAGTATTGGAGACATCAAACAGACAAATCAGGGAAATTCTTTTTACTAATTGATTTTATCTTAAGTCTAAATACAATAAACCTCTTTAGAATACCACTTTTAATATTGTGACAATTAATTATGTGTTCTGCATCAACAGAATTCATTTTTTTCTACGAAAAATCCTCTTAAATCACCTATTACTGAGTTGATTTGGCTTATATAGGTTTCAAAAATGACTTAATCCTTTAATTTTTTACTTTATTTTATTAATTCTCCGTTGTAATTCAGTGGTTATGAAAGAAAAATATGGAAATAAAGTTTGAAACTTAGTTATAGGAGATAATTTTTATAATTTGATGCTACTAGTTAATATAATTTTTATTTTGATGACAGTTGGTTCTAGTATAAAATTGAAATTTGGTTTTTCTTTATAGTTATTGTTACATTCAATATTAAAAATATGAGTGTAGTTGATGATCCTTAAATGATAGTTGAACCATCTTGAATAAAAATTAACAGTTTTAGAATTTCAATTATAAAAAAAAACTAAGGAAAATAACTTCGTATCATATTTTTGTAAATATGCTATATTTCATTTCAGAACTTTTGCAGCACAACAATCTATTTCTTTAAAATCAATCATGATGAGTATCATATCACTTATTCTGGTATAAAAGAAAACTTCTTTTAGTTACTCGATAGCCGGTGTTTCATTGAAACAGCTTTCAAAATAGTCTTAAGTACGGTAGAGCTGTTGTAGAGCTATATCTGTTTCAGAGAACTGTATCCATTTCAAAGAGCTGTTTTAATATATGTTGCAGGAAGCTGTTTAAATTAATCAGCTTATTTTATCAGTTTAAGAAAACTGTTTACGTATCTGTTGCAAGAAGCTGTTTGATGAAACAGGTTTCTATATCTGTTTATGTTAAACAGCTTCTGTAGATGTTTTGGAAAACTGTTTAAATTAAACATATTCAGTGTTTACTTCTTTTCCTGTCGGGATTGCTTTCTCCATCTACTATACTACTAACCTGTAAAGTGAGTTGTCTTGGGTTGGTTTCTAAACTCTGCACTGAGTTCATCGATGTCTTCATTTTGCTCCATTTAGAGATCTACTCGATGGCATTGATGAGCTCAGCGCTGATTTTAACAACAACTTGTCCCCTCATAATGAAAGGTAATCCTTGTATCTGTTCATTGTTCTATTAGATAAGAATGCGTTAACTGTGCCAGCTATTGGTGACATTTATATTGCTTTATATTCTTAATGTTTGTTGATTATATTATATTTTATTATTTTCTATCATCAAAACATTAAAATATCTATTAATCAATTTATTTATTGTTGGATTACCATTAAGGATGATTGGCAATTCATAAATTTTTAAACTGTGTTGTGAAACTTGATTATTATATGAAATTTCATTAGATATTTTATTTTGGTTAAATCACAAAAACATTATGGCTTCATCATTTGACCTGTGGGAAAACTTGAAGGAGAAACAAAATTTCAGTTTCTTATCAAGTGAATTTGTTGAAATCATAAATATATCAAATATAATTTAAATAATTAAAAACATTAATTGAAAATGGTTGGGAAAAGATATAAGAGCACTAAACTTTATAATTTTAATATTAAGAAAAATAATGTTGATAATATTACTATGCATTCAGATAAAGTTATTTTATCTGTCGGTAGCATTCGTTATTCAAACGGTAGCATTAGTCAAAATGACATTAAGTTTGGAATATTAAGAAACACTCAGTGTACATCAATGTCAATAATGGCACTATGTTTTTCATCAGTTCCAAATTTACTGGATTGGAGTACCAGCTCCATTGATAATATATTAAATTTAGGAAACATTTTACATAACCATTTTATAATTAATTTTAAAGGAATTGTACCAGATCCACCATATTTATATGTTGATGAGGTTAATTTGGATAACATCATAATTGATAGTATAAGGGTTATTCCCACTTTAATATTAAATGACTTTAAATTGCAGAGGATTATTAATATAAATTTAGGAAATGTTTTAATAATTTTTTTTCCGAAAATATGATAATGGCATATTTACAGGTTGTTTGTAATTAATAGCACTTATTAAAGTAGATAGTAAATTTTGTATTTTTGATCCTCACGCTTGTGATAATGGTGTACATTGTGCTGAAGGGGTTGCATTTGTTGGTGTATTTAACAGTTTAGAGAACTTAATTAATTTGATAAAACTAAGTTTTTCAAACAATGATCTTCTTCAATTCAAATCCTCGGTTTGTTCCCGCAATTCTCGTTCCTGGTTTTCAGATTTATACACAAGTGCCCATGGAACCACTGCTTTCAACAGATCATTCATTATCTGATCCTCATCCCTATGGAACTCCATCCCTTCCCACATCCAGCAATCCAATACCCTTCCTACCTTTAAATCCCGCCAGTTCAATCATTTCTCATCCATTCAGTTCCCATAAAATTGTAAATAGATACTACTGTAAATATGTATAGGAATTATCTTGTTGTGATCTGTTTTTTTTACTTCCACTTTTTTTCTTCATTTTTTTTATTTTCTGTTATTAACTGATTAAAATTAGAAAGTCACTTATAATTTTTTTATTTAGACTATTTAATCACTCTGTATTTTTGTTTATGCATTATCTATTATCATTCCTGTACATGATAATCAAAACCTGAAGCAGAATGGCGCAATTGTGTTATTTTACTGCTCTAACATTTCCAAGGTATAATTAGTCTTAAAATCTAATTTTTTAATCTTTATCGATTCAAAAAAAGAAAAGTCTGCCAAAGAAGGTCAGTATAGCTTCCTCACCGATTGCATTGGATAAAAAAAACCTATATTACAAGACCTCAAATTTTTCGTATTAGAATAATATCTCTGAGAGAAATCTTTTTCGGAAATTCATTAATCCCACAACATATACTGGTTTGATATCCACGAGCTTTGTTCATCAGCGAATACTAAAATGCAAAACGTTCCACATATACACATTGCATATTTGATGACGGGATTAAAAAAAATATCTAGTGCGTACTGAACATGAATATCACTACTATTAGTGCAAAAAGTCGTATGTAAACATTGAGTGTTTTACAGAAAAGCATAAAAACTAATCGTTTCGTTATGATTTATTAATATAATTTCATAATTTATTGCCCTCAGCTATTTTTCATTCAAATTTCTATACTATTCTCCAAGTTTGAGCAAAATTGAACACGCAGTTTTCAAACTATAGGCTTGTCAAATAATACGTTTGCTGGACCAAAAGCGAAAGTATTTTTTCTAGGAGAAGTGGATAGAATTTGATAAAATTCATACCTATTTGATTATTTGTTTAACAATCCCTACCTTCCCTTCAAATTTGCGCCAAATCGAACATCTAACGGTTTTAGAGATATAGAGGTATCAAGAAAACACATCTTCGCATATATACGAGAAATTAGAGGACAGAATTCAATAAAATTGACATTATGTTATTTTGTTACCATTGCCTACCTTTCATCTAACTTTGAGCCAAATCGAACGAGCCCTTTCTGAAATATTGGCATATCTAAAAGAATACGTTTGCGCGTGTGTAAGCGGAAGTGCTGGGCGGAAATTGATAAAATTGATATGGGACCATCTAGGCATCAATCTGCATAATCCTTAAAAATTTCATGAAAATTGGATAAATGGTAGTAGGTGATATGCCCGTCACATGGATTTGACTACAGACACCAGACCAAATTTGATCCTGGGTGTCTAAAACGTAAAACGCTAGTGGAAATTTTAAATTCTGAGCACAAAAATTTTTGTAACCTCTCACACGAACACAATGCTTCCCTACCTTCGGTAGCGAGGAAGCAAAAATTAAACTTGAAGAATCGTGAATTCTTCAAACTTGGAACCCGAATTGTTCCTTGGGCAAGTGTTGTTGTTGGGCAAGTTGTTGCTATGTTTCTATACTCTTGGATAGAAAAAAACGTTTACATAAACATTTTTTTTTTCTAACATCAGTTCCAGTTGCCATGAAAGAGACGGAATTGCCGAGCGGGCTAACGCGTCTGCAAAACACGCATTGCTTGAAGATGATAAAATAATTAAGAGTTTGCGTTCAGGTGGTGGAGTGGCTTTTAACTATGCCATTAATCCCTCGCTCTTACCTCTGGCCCGGGGAAAACCCCGTGTCGCCTGTAAAGCGAGAAATTTGGAGACAAATAATAAAATGAAAGTCGTCGGCAATTGATGGAAATGAAATTTATATTTTGGTGTATTAGGTACAAATATTAAAGTGAGAGTTCGTCTGATTTAAGTTTGTTCAGTTTGCCTAAAACTCATCCGAAAATTCTACTGAAATGTGTACATCTGTTAAAAATTTCGTGACGAAATTTAACTCTTTTACAATACTAAACTTACCTAGTAGTGTTAGGAAAGTGGACAGTGTAATAAAAATCAATAATTTTTATTGATACAAATCTTTATTTTACATTAATTTTTCATATTCAAATATTATAAACAATTAGAATGGTTCAGAGAATAAGAGGAATTCATTTGCAATGCCTTATCGATCTCTCAACTAACAATCGTATATTATTCTAGGGTACATAATTGTTATTAGAGTGAATTATGTATTATTAATACACTGAATACACTTACATAATACACTTAATTTAACCCTGAATACACTTAAGTAAATTTATATTTTGGTGTGTGAGGTATAAATATTAAAGTGGACGTTCGCCTGATTTAAGTTCGCTCCGTTTGCCTAAAACTCATGCGACAATTCTACTGAAATGTGTACATCTGTTGAAAACTGCGTGACAAAATTTAACTCTTTTACAATACTAAACTTACCTAGTAGTGTTAGGAAAGTGGACAGTGAAATAAAAATCAATAATTTTTATTGATATAAATCTTTATTTTACATTAATTTTTCATATTCAAATATTATAAACAATTAGAATGGTTCAGAGGATCAGAGGAATTCATTTGCAATGCCTTATCGATCTCTCAACTAACAATCGTATATTATTCTAGGGTACATAATTGTTATTAGAGTGAATTATGTATTATTAATACACTGAATACACTTACATAGTACACACCAATGAAACTTAAGGTTGGAACTCACATGCACCTACCGCGTCCAAGCGTACATCCATAGATAGATAGATAGATAGATAGATAGGCAGATAGATAGAGGCGTTTATTTGTTTATAAAGTACACATTATAATTTTTTTTTTTACATATAATTAAACGATTTATCGCCAATGAACTTATGTTCGTCTGTCGGGGTGTTCCCCTAGTTTATTCATGAAGATATCTTATCTTATAAAAATTCACAGTTTCAATATAACAAGATACCAATTGCGATATAATCTACTTAATTAAAAAAAATCTTAATTTTAACTAAAAATTCTTTCTTAATATAAAAATATAAATATACCTAAATAATGTACAAATATACATAAACATAAACTTAGATACCTATTATTCTAAATTATATTCTCTCACTAATTCACATCTATAATTAATGGATGTTTTTAAATACAAATAAAGATTACTGTAGTTTATCGTATCCATAAAATTTAGTTGATGCATACTTAAAAATTCTATTCTGAACTCTTTTAGTATTGGGCAAACCGATATAAAATGAAAGTTCCGGTGCATTCATATTGCACAAAGAACAATTTCCACTTTTATCCCGCCACGGCTGGTAATTTAGATTGAAGAGTTTCCCTCTCGCTTTAAAAATTAGCCGAATGAAGTATAAATTGCAATCATTCTGCCGAAAATACCCGCAATCATGTTCTAATTTGGCATACATATTATGATATTCTGCTGATCTTGCCCTCTTAATGTATTAATTGATTTTCTCTTGCTTTAGTTTTTCAAGTAATATGTCTTTATGTGTTTTTAACTCCTTCTGCAGATCTTTTTTGGTGAAAGAAATGTCACATTTTGTTCCTGTCCTTCTCAATGCTATCCATGTTATATTCTTTTCGATGAATAATTTAGCTATGACATGCGGGAGTCGTCAGTGACCCATTTCCAACACTTTTGTTATATTTGTGGGTATAATGGTCGACTGTCGTGAATAATGAAGAGAAGAATAGTTGGGGTGATCAGTCAAATAATAAGGCAAAAATAAATGATAATATTTATTTTGACATTTGCCGACGTTTCGACCTGAAGTTCAGGCCTTCATCAGGGCTAAGAAAAGAACCAGATAACAAGGTATGAGAAACATAAGTAGTGTAGATAAAAAAAAATAAAAAAATAAATAAAGTAAAATGAAGTTGTTAGAATAATGACAATAGTAAGAAGTAAGATATAAATAATAATAAACGTTACAAAGTGTGGAATGATGAAGTAAATATGATAAAAAAAGTGACATAAGTATTAAAATGGGAATCTTAGAATAAAATGTAAAACAGAAAAAAGGAATATGAAGTTATATAAGATATGAAAATATATAGTAAAATTAAGACATTGCGAATGGAGTCTAACTACTCTGACTACTAATCTAACTACTCTATTGTTATCTTGTTCTTTTCTTAGCCCTGATGAAGGCCTGAACTTCAGGTCGAAACGTCGGCAAATGTCAAAACAAATATTATCATTTATTTTTGCCTTATTATTTGACTGATCACCCCAACTATTCTTCTCTTCACTTTTGTTATCTACTTGATGTGCAATTTTAAAGTATAAATACACAAATTATCAAATCATTTTTCGAGATATAGCATGTGGTTAGGAGTATTATCTGGGAGCCCAATCATCTTTTTTAGAAAATACCTTTTTAGAGAAGAAACCAAACACAGACTGAAGTTAGGTTAGAGCAACCACATGGGGACTAGCTACGGCCATGTTGGATTTTATCAACAAGATACTTTATATAATGGTGGCGCGGTTCTGACGCGTTGCAGGAAAGTGTGTCTCAACTTTTAATCGTAAGTCTATAAACATGTGAGATATTCGTGCCATAATTGTTAATCTTTTTCATTTTGTCTTTCCATCTATCTTTTTCATAATAGTAAGTAGGTAAAACAATTCTAATAAAGTTCTTTAAATGAGCATGCTACTGTCACACTGTCGTCAGCCTTCTTAAATGGCATTGTTCCGTCTGAGGCTACGAATTGGTTCACCTGGTAACTTTTCAATAGTTTGTAGTTCAGAACAATCTCCGATAGTTGCTGTAAAAAAAAAAAAAAAATAAAATAAATAAAATAAACATGTAAATTAAAAAATATCTGAAAAATAAATCTACATAGTTTGTATTAATTGTTAATAGCTTTGTAAAGAAAGGAACTCATTCAAAACAGTCACCTTTGAACGCAAATAACTGTCATAAATTAAATTGCTATGATCATTGGCGGATTCAATTGATATGAATTTCGAGGTGAAGCCTCTTCTATTTAAATATTGAGTGAATAAGCTCATTATTTAGAAAGAGCTTTGCCACCATTTAGTTTCAATTGAGCTTTTCAGTTGACAGAATGGCTAACTCCAATTTAAACATTTTTGAGTAATGTCTTTTTTTGTAGTTCGGAAATTTATAAAATCTATACAGACAGTGAGTAAGTTGATACCATAACAGATGATGGCAGTATAGATTTTCACACTAGAAATGTAACTAAAATTAATAATAATAATAAAAAAAAGTTGGAATTGGAGTTAATCTCCTGAGCCCATACATGCCTAGAGAGAATTGCTAGACCATCTGAATATCTGACCTATAAATGATAATGGATAGTTATTAAACTGTTATTTTCCATTGTAAAGTTTACCAAAATGAAATTACGTGATTCTCATTGCCTGCCATGGATAGATCAAAAGTTGCCGCACTAATTGTAAGTGGATAATGTTGGGATTTCACAAAATTCATCAAATTATTCACTAATTTAATTTTCTAAAAGGTTACTTGATGATTCTTTGGAATAAACGTCCAATGGATACTTAATTATTTAAATATAATATAATATATAGAGTTATTAAACTACAGCAAATGTATAAAAGGTTATAAACATATCCATGAAATAATTTTATATTTCACACAAGTGCAATTATTTAAATTTTAAAAAATGGCATTGGCATGATTCGGTGGCTTTTATATACTTTTTTTAAACTTACAAACAAATTTAAAAGTTTACATTTAATAGGAAAATTTCATTTAATTTCATTGGAAACATGTGATTTACGTTAAATAATGTTAGTTTTCAGAAATTATTATTTATATTTTTATCGTCATTCTGTCAACTGAAATACTCCATTATTCTTTTAAAGAGCTTTGTTAAAATCTTTTTTTTCGTCATTCTCAGTGAATATGTAGAAGCGATTCATTTCACAATAATTATGAATGAGCTTAATATATATATATATATATATATATATATATATATATATATATATATATATATATATATATATATATATATATATTATTAAATTGCGCTTATTATTTAAAATTTAAAATCAAAAAAGTATTGGCACACTTAACTTTTTTTAGATTTCATTGTGAAAAAATCGGAAATTGATTTGCTAAACATTTTTAGTTAATAAAAGATTTAGATCGGCCTCTTTATAGTCCATGGTTCAGACCCCTTTTTATCAAATTATTAACATCCGGCCGAAACTTCGTAAATAGCTTCATCTCATCGTAACTTACAAATATTTCATTTGGGAAAATTTTCGGAATTGTGGCGCTTTCAATCTGGAGATTGTTTATTTAATTAGGTACTAAAAACTCGTAAATACCCATTTTCTTTCCACTTCAATCGTAAGATAACTTGAGCACAAAGTCGAGAAAAATGGCGGCCTTCAAAAATATTTACTCATTTGGCGTGACCTACACCCCCAAATTCTCAAATTAACGAGGTTATATAGGTCAAATGGGTCAATATTTTTCAAAAGGCTACCTCAAGCCACTTGCTCTGACTGGAGCCAATAGTAAACATTTAAAACTGTGCCAATACGTTTTTGACCCTCAAATTTATTTAGGAATCATTGAATTCAACACCTCTTAAGTAACATTTACTGTTTGCCTTATACTTACAAATAGGGACACTAACGGTTATCCAAACACCATTCGTTTTCTAGCAAAAACAAGAAACAAAAACACAAGCCAAGGAAAACAATCGATTTAGACATTTATGTTTCCTATAGTTTGTGAAATGTCTAAACGTATCTTAACAATTCTTGCTTTACCCGTGTTAGAGGGTTGGTATTTCCTGTGAAGACGCCTGTGAAACCATTCTGCCTTGCAATATCTTCCACCTTCCCTGCCGTTACAAGCCCCATTTCTATGTTCTTCTGTGGGGTTAGCTTTATATCGGTGGCGAACATGTAGGCATACAGTATCTTACCTTTCGGAAGCGCCTCTCTAATAAACATAAACTTGAAATAGTACATCATCATTTGGGTACAAACTATTCACTAGCTTTTTTTTTTTTAATTTCTTAAAGACATTTACAACTGCATTAAATAAATACATCTAGTAAATTAGAACATAATGTATATAATGACATGAAAAACACTTGCTGAGTAACTACCCAATGGTAGCACTCTAATGATATGTCTACATTAGGAGATCACGGGGCCATCTTCTTTTCAGACGCCTCGGAGGGTTATCAGGAATTGAAGAGGAAGAAAGGTTAGAAACGAGAGGGTTGGGATGATTCTGAAGTTTATTATGAAAGGATAGGTATCTGGATTGGACCAGATCTGAAACAAAAGGTACATTAAGGTCTTTATGGATGGTTTTATTTGTAACAAAGTAGGGAGCATTGAGGATTTTACGAAGGATTTTGGATTGTAAGGATTGGATACGAGAGAAATTCGATGGTTTAGTGGAGCCCCATAGCTCAACTCCATAAGTCCAAATAGGGCTTATTATAGTTAAGTATATGAGTCTTTTGTAATTATTTGGAAGATTAGAACGTTTGTCTAGTAAGTGCTGAAGTAATCGGAAACGTCGAGCGGTTTCTTGTCGTTTCAGTCTAGTATGAGGATTCCAAGTTAGTCGTTTGTCCAGGTGGAGTCCTAGGTATCGGATTTGCTCAACAGGGATAAGTGGAGTATTGTTAAAGGAAACTGTAGGACAGAAAGTTGTTGGTTTACGACGAAGGGTAAAGGTAATTTGGTGGGATTTATTGGAGTTTATTTTAATTCTCCAGTTTTGACACCATTCTTCTAGATTTATGATGTGTGATTGAAGCATTTGGGATGCAATTGCTGGGTCATTATTTACTGATAGGATACAGGTGTCATCGGCATATGTGGTGATGGCAGTGTTGGGATAGGTAGGGATGTTAGCTGTATAAACTGTATAGAGGATAGGACCTAGGATACCACCTTGAGGAACACCAGCGGACTGGGAAAAAAGGGATGAATTCACTAACTAAAAAAAAAGTATTAGAAGATGGTTATTGTAATTCAACAATTGGAGAATATATTAGTAACAAATCTGGCTGGTGATGTGTAACACAAAACTTTCACTTACCAACCAAATTAAATAAATTAACCTTATTAAATTTCTGCCCAAATAGGGCTAGTTAATATTTAAATCTATATTTGTGGCTTAAAAGTACTTAACTAAAGTAACACTGCTGTACATTGATATTCCATCTCACTTGAAAACAGCCTTTCCATTTTTAGGTGTGGGAAATTCGAATTTCCGTAAGAAAATCATCACTTAGTTCTAGTTTCAAAGGCATAGTTGCTTTTTACGCAATATGGGGAAAATCTCCTGGGTTGGTAGGGTTGATTTCTGTCTGTGAATCGCGAGCAAAGACGATGTGAATCACAGAACCGTTTTGCTGACAGTTTTATGCAGTGTTTACATTTCAAGTTACTCTTGACGTGATTTTTCTTGTTTCAGGCATTCTTTTAACGATTTTGTCGTAATAACCTAGTGGTTTTGGTGAAGTTACAATGCCCAGGAAGTGTGTGAATGCTCCTGACAACTTTTGTTACATTTGTAAGGAAGTAACCTTAGCAACTCAAAAACTTCCTATCACCCAGATGATCAAGACAGCATACCACAATTATTTTCGGGTGAAGGTTGGCGAGCAAGATAAACCCTGGGCTGTATCTGCTGCGTCATATGTAGCGTAACCTTAAGAGAATGGTGGAACAAAAAAGGTCGTTCAATGCGTTTTGCTGTTCCCATCGTGTGGAGAAAGACTACTAATCACACTGACAACTGCTACTTTTGAATGGAATCCCCCTCCTCTTCATCATGGAATGTCTCGAAAAAAGAAATCTGAAGTGAAATACCCTGACATTCCTTCTGCTATACGGCAAATACCACACGAGGACGAATTGTGTGTCCCATGGCCTCCTGAAAAATATGACTTGAATGAAGACGAGAATAACGAAGAGAAAAGTCTCATAGGAGAAACCCCACCACATGATTCTTATTTTTGTTTTCGAACAAGGAGAACGAAAACCGCTCTGCTTGCTAAAGCTGAACTCAGTGACTTGATTCGTGGCCTGGGTCTGCCCAAAGAGAAAGCAGAACTTTTAGATTCACGATTGAAGCAATGGAACTTTTTACAACCTGGAGTAAAGATTACAATGTACAGAAATCGTCAGAAAGACTAGATCCCCTTTTTCAAAAAGTATGAAAACCTTGTTGCCTGTTGTGATGTACCAGGTCTGACGACAGCATTAAATCTCAATCACAACTCTTCCGAATGGAGGCTGTTCACCAAAGCTATCCCTCAAGGCAATTCTGTAGCACAATGGCAATTATCCCTCTATCCCTATTGGCCGTGCTGTCAAAAGAGAGGACAATTATGCTGTCTTAATCCAGAGTGATCTTGGTTGTAACATGTCACTCAAGATTCACTTTCTTCACTCTCATTTGGACTTCTTTCCCAAAAATTGTGGATCTGTAAGTGACGAGCCAGGTGAGCGAGTTCACCAAGATATATCCTCGATGGAACGAAATTATCAAGATCGGTAGGATCCTTCAATGCTGGTAGACTACTGTCGGAACGTTGTGAGGGATTTGTCTGAACATCAGTACAATGGTCAAGCAAAGAAGAAACGTTCTAAATAAACTGTACAACAGCGCTGTTCTGGCCGAGAGAAGTTGTAATTGAATATTTAGTGACACTGTCATCACCATCTATGCCGATGACACGTGTATCCTATCAGTTAATAACGATCCATCTATTGGATCCCAAAATCTTCAATCACACATCACAAGTCTTGAAAAATGGTGTCAAAACTGGAGGATTAAAATAAATTCCTATAAAGACTTCCTGTCCTACAGTATCCTTTAACAATACCCCTCTTATCCCTGTCGAACAAATCCGATACATAGGACTCCATCTTGACAAACGACTCACTTGGAATCCCCATACCAGACTGAAACGATTAGAAACCGCCCGACGTTTTCGACTACTGCAGCACTTACTAGACAAACGCTCTAAGCTTTCAATCAATTCCAAACGACTCATATATATCACAATAATAAGACCTATTTGGACTTACAGAATTGAGCTTTGGTTCTGCAGTTTGTTATGGAAGGATAGGTATCTGGATTGAGCCAAATCGGAAACATATGGAACATTAAGGTCTTTATGGATTATTTTATTTGTGACAAAGTAAGGAGCGGATTGGATACGAGAGGAATTCGATGGTTTAGTGGCTCCACAGTTTCCTTTCCACTTCAGTTGGAGAGGGTCAGATCACCTGCCTTTGAGAGTATGCCATGCACTTTTGTAGGATATGTTCCACATTCTGTACATCCTCACCGCACTCGCAGAGGGGACTAGAGCCAACTTTGAACTTACTAAATAGGTGAGCTTTAAGCCTGTTGTGTCCAGTTCGTAAGCGAAAAATCAATACCAGAGTTGGGTAAAAATTAACTACAGTTAACAGCTAAATTAGCTTTTAGTGGGCAGATAATTCTGCAACTAAATTAGCTTTTAGCGGGACCAAGAAGCTAACTTTTAGGTTTTTTTTACAGCTAACAGTTAATTAGCTTTATCTATAACTTCAACTAAAAGCTAATAGTTAACTCAATAGTCTAGGATCTAAAGCCCAAATATACTGCTCAAATAGAGGGAGTAGAACCGGAAATTTCTATCTACTAAAATATTACTTCAGAATTTTAACCAAGAGCGCTAGGAAGGTCGTGTGAGGGAACTAGCAAAAACAGTTTCTGTTTTTTCTCGTCGACTTCACCGAAAAGTTAAAACTGATTTAAGTATAGCAGTTTCTAGAAATATACTTCCGATTCAGATAACTTGCACTAACTCTACAGCATGATTGCGTTTCTGTGAAGAAAATGTTATTTCACCACAATTATACACCATATTTACACATTTTTGTGGCATTTTTACACTAAAAAAGCACCCTCAAACCAGAAATTCTGCATTAATTATATCAGAAACTATATGAAACTCACAACCACAGTAAGGCCCTCCGCTCACGAGGCGAGAAAACTCGAGGAGAACTGTGCGTCAAACTCGTCAAATCTCGCTTAATTCGCCAACACAAAGAGGCGAGATACACTCGAACTGTGCGTGTTATGCGATTTTAGCTACAATATATATGCATATTAACACTTTTTAATATCGGGAATGAAGACTTTGTTTTTCACTGTTAAAACAATTTTTAGACAATGCAGAAGTAGACGAAAATAAGAAAATAGTGTAGAAAATTTTCCAAATTTTCATTCTTTTTTCCTCTTTTATTACGTGAATGGACGCTCGGTTTTTCATCGTCCCAACAATTTTCCAATTGTTTAGAGTTGAGCGAAAATGGGGAACAAGTACAAAACTTTTCCGAATTTTCATTCGCTTTTCTCCTTTTATCTCGGGAATGAAGGTTTGGTTTTCTAGTGTAATAACCATTTTCCGCCAATGTAAAAGTAGGCGAAAATAAAGATATAGTGTAAAGAATTTTCCGAATTTTCTTTCGCTTTTCCTCTTTTATCTCTTGAATTAGTGCTCGGATTTTCACAATTCCAATTATTCCGTTAAGAGGAAGAGGAATGGAAACAGTATTGATAAAAATTTTCCGAATTTTCTTACGTTTTTCCTCTTTTATCACGTGAATGTACGCTAGGTTTTTCATCGACCCAACAAGTTTCCAATTGTTTAGAGTTGGGCGAAAATGGGAAACGAGTGCAAAACTTTTCCGAATTTTCATTCGCTTTTCTCCTTTTATCTCGGGAATGAAGGTTCGGTTTTCTAGTGTAATAACCATTTTCCGCCAATGTAAAAGTAGGCGAAAATGAATTTATAGTGTAAAGAATTTTCCGAATTTTCTTTCGCTTTTCCTCTTTTATTTCTTGAATTAGTGCTCGGATTTTCACAATTCCAATCATTCCGTTAAGAGGAAGAGAAATGGAAACAGTATTGATACAAATTTTCCGAATTTTGTTTCGTTTTTTTCTTTTATTACGTGAATGGACGCTAGGTTTTTCATCGTCCCAACAATTTTCCAGTTGTTTAGACTTGGGCGAAAATTATAAAGAAGTGCAGAAATTTTCCGAATTCTGAAAAATTCTGATAATTTTCTCCAATACTGCTTTCATTGGCTTATCTTTAAAAGTTGGGAAAATGTTTGGAACAGTGAAAATTCGTGCACTCATTTAGAAGATATATGAGGAAAAGCGAATAAAAATTCGGATAATTTTCACTAATAGTGTTTTCATTGGCATATCTTTAAAAATTGGGAAAATGTTAGGAACAGTGAAAATCCGTGAACTCATTCAGAAGATAAATGCCTATCCTTAAAAATTAGAAACATGTTTGGAACATTAAAAATCCGAGCTCTCTTTTAGGAGATAAAAGAGGAAAAGCGAAGGAAAATTTGGAAAATTTTCTACAGCATTTCGCTATTTTTGTCTACATCTACATTGCTGAAAATATTTTGGAAAAATGATAATTCGAGTACTGATTTTAGAGATAAATGAGGAAAAGCGAATGAAAATTCTGATAATTTTCACCAATATTGTTTTCATTGGCCTATCTTTAAAAATTAGGAAAATATTTGGAACATTGAAAATCCGTGCACTCATTTCGAACATGAATGAGGAAAAGCGAACGAAAATTCGGAAAATTTTTCACACCATAAAGAAGTCCTAAATAAAATATCACTTATCATACTATAGAAATAATCAAAGAAATAGAAACAAGAATGAGTTTTATTAATTATAATACGGCCATAATTTTTTTTATAAAGTAATTCACGCGTCAAGCTCGAATTTTCTCGCTTAAACAGTTCACTGCTATCTCGCTTGAATTTCTACTCTCGTTAGGAGATATATAGGAATTGACTGGAAAGTAGTGTTGTTGGGGCACCGCGCCTAGCTCTCTCGATTTTTCTCGCTCCGTTGGGGAGGCACTTGACGCACAGTTCGATTCCATCTCGCTTCTTGGTCAAGTCGTCTCGCTTCGAGTTCGAGTCTCCCTCTCGCTACGATTCCATCTCGCCTTGTTGTGGATCTGTGTAGAAATTTACTTAGAAGTAGTGTGGTTGGGGAATTCCACATGTTTCGGGGCCCTCTCGTTTCGAATTAATTCCAATTGCTATAAAAATGTGTAGGGTTTTTGTGGTGCGAAAAACGAATATAAATTTAGTTTCTCCATAAAAAAAATATGTACCCCAACATAGCTTGGTCCAAATTATACTAATACTGTAGCTATCAACCAAATGTAATATTTATTAAAAATCAGTCTTGTTTCAAGGGTAAATAATTTTTTAAGGAGGAACATAGCTTATATTCGTTTTTCGCAGCTCGAAAAATTTCGCGAATTTCTCGACGAAATTTTTGCCTCGCTTGAACGTTCGAAAATTGTTTGAAAAGAGGAAAAGCGAATGAAAATTCGAAAAATTATCTACACCATTTTTCCATTTTGGCCTACCTAAACATTGCCGAAAAATTGTTGGAGAACTGAAAGCCGACCCTTCGTTCGCGAGTTCAAAAAGGAATAAGAAATAAAATTCATAAAAATTTTCACTTTTTACAAATTTTCACCAAAATAAAACAGCTTGAAAGTTGTTGTAATGATGAAATACTGAGCATTCATTCACGTATTAAAAGAGGAAAAGCTAAAGAAAATTCGGAAAATTTGTACCACTACTGTCTCCATTCTATACAGTTCGCAAAATGGTTGGAATAGTGAAAATCCATTCATGAGAGAAAAGTGGAAAAACGAATGAAAATTCGGAAACCTTTCTCCACCATTTCCCCATTTTTGCTCATCTCTAAACTGCCGAAAAAACTCATGGAAAAATGAGAAAACCGAAAGAAAATTCATAAAATGTTTGCACTTTTTCATTAATTTTCACCTAACTCTAAACAGCTGAAAAATATTTGAGACGATGAAATACCGATCATCTATTCACCGAATAACAGAGGAATAGCGAATCTAAATTCAACAAATTTGTACCACTACAATTTAGGTTGGTCTACATCTAAACAGTTGGTAAATGGTTGGAACAGTGAAAATCCGAGCATCCTTTCCCGAAATAAAAGAGGAATAGTGAATGAAAATTCTCTAGATTATTTCATTATTTTCGCCTAATTTTACATTACCGAAAAATGGTAGGAACACTAGAAAACCGATCCTTCATTTCCGAGATGAATGAAGAAAGCGAATGAAAATTTGGAAAAGGTTTGCACTCGTTCCCCATTTTTGCCAAACTCCAAACAGTTGGAAAATTATTGGGACAATGAATAACCGACCGTCCATTCCATTATAAAAGAGGAAAAGCCAAAGAAAATTAGGAATATTTGTACCACTACAGTTTCCATTGGCCTACCTCTTAAAATTTTGAATTAATCCGAGCATTAATTTCCGAAATAAAAGAGGAAAAGCGAATGAAAATTCGGAAAATTCTCTACAGTATTTCCTTATCTTTGCCAACTTTTTGTGGTCGAAAATGGTTGGACCACTAGAAAATCAATGAGAAAAATCCTATCAGCTATTCACAAGATAAAAGAGAAAAATCTAATGAAAATTTAGAAAATTATCTACACTATTTTCTTATTTTCGTCTACTTCTACATTGCCGAAAAATTGTTTTAACAGTGAAAAACAAAGTCTTCATTCCCGATATTAAAAAGTATTAATATACATATATATTGTAGCTAAAATCGCATAAGACGCACAGTTCGTCGAGTGCAACTCTCGATTTTTCTCGCTCGAATTTTCTCGCCTCGTTGGGGAGGCACTTGACGCACATGACGAGCAAGTTAAGCTTGACGCACAGTTCTCCTCGAGTTATCTCGCCTCGTGAGCGGAGGGCCTAACAGTAACTATATTTATGACTTACAAACAGCTGAAGAGCATTTGTGTTTTGTTATTTGACAGGTGTACCAACTAATCCCCCAAAAATTCCCCCAAATTGAAAATTTTGACTCTAAAAATGAAATGTCACTTTATCTCCAAAGCAAGAGCTAATCTCTCCTTTTTATGGTGAATTGAATTCAGCAGATGGAAATACATATGAATTGTTTATTTTTGAGCACAGAAATTGTTTATTATTTGCCCAGTGTTATCAAACATAAATCGTGTACTTTTTAAATCATTGTAATTCTCAACTGAAGGAGAAGATAAAAATCATAAAGATGTCTCAATTATTGGATTTGACGAATTATTAACGATGATATGGCGTATCAAAGAAAAACATCTACGAGAAATTATATATAAAAAATGCACAGAACAATAATACTCACATTAAAGGTGCTTCTATAAATTCAAAGAGCTCCATTACATAATCAAAATTTGATTGTAGCCTTATTGGCGATTCATCGATGATGTCCATTAAGAGCATGCAGCTGACTACCTCATCGGTATCCTGGTCCTTTATCACGAAACTGAAATCAAGGCCAAATTCTTATTTATAAATGTTTTGGTCTTTTCAACCACTTGGGTCATTTTCGCCATGTATTACAATTGGATTAACTACTCCGTGGGCATACATAACAAAACTACAGCTAACAAATACAATTTAAAGTTTAGAAAGTTAAAAATAGTTACAGTTGAATATGAAGGTATAATTTAATTAAAGTTATAAAAATTGAAAGTTAAAGATTAAAAGAAGATAAGTTAAAAAAAAATAAAGTTTTACGATTTTAAGAATAAAAGCTAAAAATACGTTTTAAAAAGATATCCTTCGAGAATACAAAATTTTTTTTATTTATTTATGGCGCTACGGTCCTGTAAGAACCTGGGCCTCTCTTATGATCCTTCGCCACTCTCCTCTATCCCTAGCGATCATTCTCCATCTTCGAATTACCATCCTTTTCAGGCTATCCTCTACCTGGTCCAGCCATCTCAGGCGTGGTATTCCCCTTCCACGTTTTCCACCAGGATGATCCTGTAGCAAGCGTTTGGGAATCGCGTCTCGAGGCATACGCGCCACATGGCCCAACCATCTGATCTGGTTTCCCCTCATAATTGAGACCAAATCCGGCATCGCATACCTTTCATACAGTTCTTTATTAGTGCGAATTCTCCATTGCCCCTGTTCGCTCACCGGGCCATAGATCCTGCGGAGAACCCTTCTCTCCCATGCGAGTAAGTAGCCTTTCTTCGGATGCTTTGAAGATCACCCAAGTCTCAGAGCCATAGGTGACGACGGGTCTGATGAGTTTCTGATACACCGTGATCTTTGTTCATTGAGAAAGAGATCTGTAATTCAATATTTTTCGCAATGCAAAATAGCACCTATTCCCGACAGTCATCCTTGCTTTTAATTCTTCTAACATTTCGTTGTTTTCTGTGATTAGTGCTCCCAAATATCTAAAATTTTCGACCACTTTTAGGATTTGGTTACCAATTGTGACGCGTTCGACTGTTTCGCTGGGCTTTTTTGACGTTTGCATGTAAACAGTCTTCTGTTTATTCATTTGTAGCCCTCGTTCCTTAGTTGCAGTTACGAATTCTTCTAATGTCCCTAATAATGATGTTTTATTTACACCATACAATGAATACAAAAATAATGACCAATAATCCAGAAACTGATAAGAAAATCAGAACTAAATATGGGGATATCCAATCTGTAAAACAGTTCAAATACCTAGCAGAACTTATGAAGTATAATGGGAGTGATTTAGAGTCGATAAAGCGCAGAGAATAGATATATGATATCTAGATTTAGGTATCTGGTTAAAGATATATATTACAAGAATAACCTTTCCAGAAAAGCTAAGATAAGACATAATAGAAATAGTAGTTATACTCAAGAATAGAACAAGTAATGAGACTGAAGATCATCAGGGTGTACCCTAAACAAATTAAGAAAAAAATATTAAGACATGGAAAAAAAAGATTTAGAAAAAAGAGTTAGGGAAATAGTGAACAGAATGAAGTTCCTTGGCAAGGGCGTACGCAGCTTTCATATTGGGGGGGAGGGGGCTGAATAATTTAATAAAACAATTCATTAAATTCATGTATGTATGTCATGTATGTATGTAGGTGAAATTATATTCTACTGTATAAATTAAGGCTATACTTTTCACCACATTCATTTTTATTTCTATTACTCCTTCAAAGTGTCTACGTTTCGACTATGATGCCATTTTTAAGCCATCTATTTATAAGACCCACACACAATCAGTTCATAAATAAACATTTAACATAATATAATACTGATGTTAGTCATCTTTTAAAAAGCAACATTATATAAATTATAATCCTAATAGGGTTAAGTCAATAAGTCGATTTACAATTAGATTAATTAAAATTACAGCAATATTCCATAAATGAATTTACTTATATTAATATAAGGTAAATCAAATATTGATTCCTATTGGATTTTAATATTCCTACCTAGTTAATACTTCTCATTCTATTTACTCCATAATTATAATCTCTATGGGATTGTTTTGTTGGGAGGTTACATGTTAATGTATTGTTACTTAATTATTTTGCTATATTAAAATTTTAATTTGGTAATAATGTTTGCATATGTACTGTTGAACCCTTTCGTGCCTGCCTGAAAATTACATACTTTGTCCAGAGTTTTAATAATATAAATGGATTACAATACCTTACGTTTGTAGCTGTTTTTCTCACTGTTTACAATTTAAGTATTATTGAAGTCAAAAGTGTGTCTATGTTGGGTGCTATGTGTTGAAAGTCATGTACAAGTGTTTATATAATATTGTTTTTTAAAATATAACTAACATCATTATTATATTATGGTAAATGATTTTTTATGAACTGATTGTGTATGGGTCTTGAAAATGGCATCATAGCCGAAACGTAGCCACTGTGGAGGAGAAATAGAAATAAAAATGAATGTGGTGAATAGTAGAGCTATAATTTATATGGTACAATTCATTATTTTTTTTATATGAACACAATATATACATAGAAAAACAATTAAAAAAAAAACCATTTTCCTTGATTTTCGGCAAACCTTTTGTATTTATTATTTTTTTCTTAATTCAAATTATTTTATCCTGCTTACGCCGATGGTCATTGGAATAGAAAATAGAAGAAAGGAAGAAAGGAAATGGGCAGAAGAACGGAAAAAAGAAACGAGTAAAAAAATGAAGAAAGTCTACGTTACAAGAAAAGCTCATCGCGGAAAGATAAGTTAAGGCTTAGATTATTATTGAATGCATATCGCGGGTTTATTGTAAAAATTCACTAAGTGCATTTTTGAAATTAGTTAACTTTGAAATATGTTTTTGTGAATTTCGACCTTATTGATCTAATCACAAAGAAACAAAAACACCATAACTGATTTTTTTTTTTTTTTTATTTCACAAAGAGAAAATTTATTAAAGATCTCAATTATTGGAGATTATAAAATGTCACTTAATGACTTTTTGCAAAAAACCGGCGATATAATAACATTTTTTAGTCAAATTAAAAAGTAAAACAAAAAATAAAAAAGTAAAAATTGTTTAACTGTGTTACCTGAGTGGGTTATTAATTAATTTAGGCCAGATTATATCAAGCATTTGAATGTAATCACGTTTTTCCACTTTAAGCTCCATACTTCTTTCAATAACTGATTTAATGGCGAAACCGTCTGCAACGATTCTAAAAAAAATATGTAGTTTAGTTTTTATGATACCATGTAAGGGACATAAAAGTCGAAAAAAATGTTACATTAAAGAGTTCGGTTGATTAACGATCTATGTCACATTTTGACGAAATTGGTTTTTTTTTATATCAGTCCAAGAACCAAGACGAAATTTTGTGAATTATTTGAAGAAAACTAATAAATACTGTTACAAGAGTTGAACTTTGTTTACATCCTTGGGTATTATTTAGATAATCCTTACCTCTATTAGGTTATTTTCTTTACATGTCAGGATAATAATCTCAAATAGTTTGTGTTTTTCTTTCGCTCAGTTAATATGGAGTGGGGTCATAAAGAAATCATAACAGCCTTACACAAAGTTGGAAAATGTAGGTGAGATATTTTCAACACTTCGAAACCTTTGGATATCAGCCGTGTGTTCATGTACCCCACTTCAAATGTAACTTTCATTTCAAATATAAAAACCTGTACCACTACAACCCATGAAGGGTCTGGGGTTCAGTACTATTTAGGGAATGCACTGTTTCTAGGTCCACGGGTGTGCAAGGAGGTGATTTGACCGATATCACGCTCAACCGCCAGGTTTTCCCCCTTAATTAATTATTTAATTAAGGGTACCCACTTTATAGAGGCTGGGTGTACCCCAGGAGGGACTCCTGACCCAAGGTCGCCCCACGGCCAATGAAACAGATAAATAAATTTTCTGCCATGAGCCGGGGTTCGAACTCGGGACCTTTGCATTGGAAGCTCAGTGCCCTACCACTGAGCCACCCCACTCCCCATTTCAAATATAACCCTTTATAAATCAAATGTAACCTTTTCCATTTAATGTGTTATTTTTGGTTTATTATTTTCAATAATGAACCATTGTGTTCGACCAAAAAATTCAAAAACTTAACCCCCTCCCGAAATTTGAGGTTTGACGTTTCAGTATACGTAAAATTCGAAAAACGAATAAAATTTTTTTTGTCCGTCCGCCGTCCGCCGTCCTCGCATTTTCTCCGAAATTACAGGACCAATTTTTTCAAATTTGGATATAAAACCAGAGGTCACTCCTTCCTCGACATTACCATCCGCCTTGTACTTTCAAAATGGTGGCCGAAAAACCTGCGTTGCTATAGACTAGCGCCTAAACGAATGTATCGATTTCAATGAAACTTTGCTGAAATGATTTTCTCGACGCCCTTTAAATTTATTTATCTATCATACTTCAAGGAAAAGAAGCTGGAAAAAAGGGAGGGGATGGTAAAATTAATGGTTTTTAAAGTTTACGGAATTTCCTAAAAAAAATCTTTAATATCGGACAATTAGGAGCAAAGATATGGTCTCTAGTTTTTTTTAAATATGTTCTACTGCAAATGTTATATCCTTTGTTTTGATTTTTAAATTTTGAATGGGTTACTGAAGTAATGCTATTTTTTTTTTTAGCATATTACGAATGATTAAAAAAAAAAGTTTAGTCCAATAATTGAAATCACCTTTTATTTATTTTAATTCTTTGTAACTAGGAAGGTAATGTTACTTTACATGTATTATTGTTTGGAAATAATAAACCATTGTGAAATAATTTGTAGCGTTTTTTTTATTTCAAGTGTACCCTTTCCCGATTGTGAATTAATTCTTAAAAAAGTTACTTTTTTATTTGAAAAAAGTTACATTTGAAATAGGAACGGTTACATTTGAAATAGAAACGGTTACATTTGATTTGATAAGGGTTACATTTGCAATGGAAAAGATTACAATAGACCGTAAAGAGCTCTATGAGGGCTCACATTGAAGCTGATGGAATAATTTACAATGTATTTATGGCATTTATCTTCTTAAGAATAGTTGTTATTTTGATCTTTACAAAAGTCCATCATCGAGTGAAATAAACATGAATTTTAAATTTCTCTTGTTTCGCTTCGGCAGACAACTTTTTTTTACATTTGGAGGATAAGCAATTTCATGTTGACTTAAAAGAAAATTATCTTTAAAAATATTTACGTAACCCTATTCAATGTGCGCCATTTTGAAACTCCCAAGTTTTCAACTGGTTGACTAGTGGAAATTAAATGCTGAGAATGAACATCATTAAAGCGTAGGACTTGAGATTTTTCTAAAATAAATCACAAAATTTCAACTTTGCTCTTCGGCCTTGTATACCAACGTGTTGGCAAATGAGCGTTCACCTTGTATATACGAGAGATTAATATTTAAGAGATTAATGATAGGGGGATACAGGGTTGCCCAAAGGGGTGTTTCATAGCGCAAATTTCGCTATCAAAATTTTTGAAGGGTGTATATTTTTTGAGGGGAGCAAATTTCGACTGGGTTATGAATTTTCGGACTAAGATGTAAGGGAAAACATGGACCACGCCGAAGCAAGTGTAATTCTATATCGTCTAAGATTTTTCTAATTCTAGCTTCGCTTGCTGTTTGTTAAAAAAAGGAGAGCAATAAGATTTCTTAGGAGAGATAGGGGCAAGTATTTGCGTCTTCGACCATGGGGAAAGGAATGGGCACCCCTTTGGTGATATATATATATATATATATATATATATATATATATATATATATATATATATATATATATATATATATATATATAAGTTAAGCGTCGTCGGACTTAGAAAACAAAAAAAAAGAAGGAAAAGGGAAAAGATGTAACATACACGACTTCTGAAATAACACTGCTTTATTCGTTCCATAAGCCTCCTTATATACACTTAGCCTGTTTATTTACATTACCAGATAGTATTAAGGCTGATACCGCCAGTCTCCGGTCTTTATCTCCCCCCCCACCAGTTTACGAACAGGATTTTCGGAAACTTAAATATTGCTAGATCGGAGCCCACGGTGACCAGCCTTAACACTTTACAATTGGTTTTACAGTACATCCTTAAAAGAAAATAAAATAGTTCCACTCAACTGGAAAAATATTAAATACAGAAGAAATAATTAAAAACACTGAAACTAAACACAGCACTTTAGAACTCCTACCACTTGAGAACTCCTAACAACAACAAAAAAAACACAATTTCCTCTATACATGAAATAATACAACAAAAAAAACAAAAAAAAAATCTTTTACAACTTGTTTTGTTTTGACAGCCACAAAAAAAAACATATTCCTCTGTTTTATCTACAGCGGTGAGGGTACTACGAATCCATAGGTCTATGTCCCGACTCTATCATTGGGAGCTTTAATTGTTCGATATGAACGGTTCTCCTCTTTCTGGGCTCATTCACGCTCTCAATAGTTACCAGGTTATGCTCCCTAATAACAACCACTCTGAATGGACCCTCGTACCGTAGCAATTGTTTCCCTCTGTTGGTTCCCAATTTCCGGTAAACTATTGTTCCTATTTTTAGTTCCCCCATTTGGTCGCGAACTTGTACATTCTGCCGTTCCACCCGCTTCTGCTTTTCCCGCTTAATTCTCGCCGTTATCTTTCCCCATGTTTTCTCTACCTCTACCCTATTGCTGAGAATTTGATCCACTAACGGTTCGGTAAGCGTAGTTTCCCCATAATCCCGCCTTGGCCTGCGCATCCCGAATAGAACTTCCATGGGTGAAAACCCCGTTACGGAGTGGATCGAGTGGTTATAGGCTGTTACCGCTTTCCTCATTGCTACATCCGGCTCCAACCCTTTTTCACCCTGATATACACGGACGTGGTCGCTTAACGTACTGTGCAGCCGTTCAATACCGCCTCTACCTTTAGGATGTCCTGGGGTGTTATAATGCCACGCAATTTCCAATCGCTTCACCTCCTCCCTAATCGCGGCATTGTCGAACTCCCTACCACCGTCCGAAGTAATCCTCTCGGGGACCCCATAGAACTGCACCCAGGTTTGTAGGGCTTCCGCAACTGCATTGGCTGACTTCTCCATCACTTGGTATGCCATCGCCACCTTGCTGAATATGTCGATTACCGTGACCCACTTAAACCCTTTCCAGGTAAACGTGTCAATCTGAAGGTCCTGTAGCGGCATATTCCCTGTAGGTGTCTCCTCCTGAACTCCTCTGGGGGGGTGTCGATCGTATTTTGTGCGCATGCATATCTCGCATTTCCCAATGACTTCCTGGATGGACCTCTTCATGCCCCACCAGAAATACTTCCGACGCAATGCCTGCAGCGTCTCATTAACGCCTCGGTGATTGGTTTTCCCCTGGTGATATGCTACTGTGATTGCTTGCTGCTGCTCTTCGTCCTGTACCGTCTCCACAGCATACTTACACCGGATGAATGTCCTGTCCACGCCTATTCGCTCGGACCTCCACATTCGCTTGATCTTATCCCATACCGTATTGTTTCCTACGTATAGGTAGTGCGTTTTACCCGCTTCCGAGGCATCCCTCAGTGCCGTACAGATTTGTTCTTCGCTGACCCCGGGCTGCGACCAAATGACGCGGATCCTACTTCTCCCGTACCTTCTGAAATCGATCTTCATGATTCCGGTTGTTCGTGTCTTCCAAATCACCTGACGGTGTTTGTCGTTCACGATCTCCTCTATTTCTTCCATCTCCGCTGCCCTTTCCTCCGCTGAGCTCTCCTCTTCTGGGGAATCTCCCCTGTCCTCAATCCCTGCGGTGTCATTTGCCCCTTCGCCATCGGGAGTCCATTCCCTCAAGAATTGGCGCACGTCCTGCGATGGTCCTCCCCTGTCCTCTTCAACCGCGTTGATCATGATGGCCCTCGAGAGCCAGTCTGCCACCACGTTTTCCTTTCCCGGCTTATACACCACCTCTATGTTGTATTGGCTTAGGATCTCCTTCCATCTTGTGACCCTAGCTGAGGTTTCCTTGAGTTTTCCTACCCACTGGAGGGGTTTGTGGTCGGTATGGACTCGAAATTTTCTCCCGAATACGTATGGCCTGAAATGGTCGATAGCCCATACTATCGCGAGTAGCTCCCTCTCCAAAGCGCTGTACCTTGATTCCGCACCCGTAAGCCGACGGCTCGCGTATGCTATCGGTCGTTCACCCTCACTCCCCCCCTGGGACAAAACGGCCCCTAGCGCGTATTCACTCGCATCAGTGGTTATATTAAAAAGCTTCTCGAAATCCGGAAACGCTAACACCGGCTCCGTCAGCAACCTATTCATACATTTTCGAATGTTATTCTCCATCTCTGGTGTCACCACAATCTTCGCGCCTTTCTTCAACAAATTGTTAATGGGTACCAAATACTCTGCCATCTCGGGTACGAATCTCCGGTAATAATTCAGCGTCCCGAGAAGCCTACGAATCCCCTTGACGTCCCGTGGTACCGCCATCCGCGTGATTGCTTCCACCTTTGCCGCATCCGGTCTGCCCCCCTCGCTAGAGATAGTGTGGCCTAAAAAATTGATCCGCGTTTGTCCCAGCAGAGACTTCTCGCTTGACAATTTCAGCCCGAATTGCCGGAGCCTTTCGAATACTGCCCTCAGATGCTCCACGTGCTCGGTTTCCGTTCTGCTAAAAATCAGCAGGTCATCCATGTATACCTGGCATACCGAGTCATCGATGCCCCTCAAAAATTCGTCCATCAGACGCTGAAACGTTATGGGCGCATTCTTCAGACCAAACGGCATCCTGGTGAATTCATAATGCCCCCTTTCAAATGTGAACGCTGTTTTGTGTTGGTCTTCCGGGTGCATCCGTATTTGGTGGTATCCCGCCTTGAGGTCCAGCGTGCTAAAGACCACGGCCCCACTCAACCTATCGAGTATATCCTCGAATCTCGGGATCGGGTACTTCTCGTCTACCGTGTTATCGTTCAATTTACGATAGTCTACTACCACCCTGTATTTTTCCTTATTATCCCCCGGCGCTGCCTTCTTTTTCACCGCCCACAGGGGACTATTGAATGGTGAGGTGCTATCAACTATGATTCCCTGTTCTTTTAGACTATCTAGCTCCTCCCGAATATGCTGTCTCAACGCCTGCGGGTATCTTCTCTCTTTCACGTAAGTTACCCTCTCCTGTTTCAGTGGGATTTCGTGCACCGTCCTCCCTGTTACTCCTAATACCTCACCTTCCCTGAAGAAGATATCCCTAAACTCCTCTTGTAGCAACTTCCTCCAGTCCTCCACTCTGTCCACCGCTCCTATCCGCACCCTTCTTTCTCTCGCGACCCCTATACATCCGAACTTCCTCTTTCCTAACCTAACGCTCCAGACTCCTCTACGGTTTCTAATGCTCGCCCCTACCTGACCTAACAAATCGCACCCTACTATGACTTGGTATTCCCGAGTCATGTTCTCTACCACATGCACCGTTAGCTCACCCTCTTTCCCTGTCCACCGATCAAGCCCAATTGTCGCCTCACCCTCTACACTACAGGGACCACCCAGAGTGATCAGCTGGCAGTCACATTTCTGTATCCGGAGTACCCTCTCGCTCCCGCACCCTTTTCCTAACGCCCTTCGAGTCATAATAGTGCTCGAGCTACCCGTGTCCACAAGACACTTTACTCCCCCGTCTACTTCGATAATTGGCAACCAGCATGGCTTACCTCGGATGTTGTTGCATATTGCTGTGCGGTCGCCTCTCTGCCGACACACTCCTCAGATGTCGTCCCGCTTCCTCCTTTCTGCCGCCGCTCGTCGCTGCTCACTCCGTTGGCTGCGCCTACCTCCTTCACCTCCGCTGCTGCCTGGTTCGTCCGTCTCCGTTCCCGACGCTCCTGACTCCTCGGTTGCCTCCTCCGAAGATCCGTCCCGCTGATGTACCCTGGCTCGTCTTCTCATCCTCTGCACATTCACCTCCATGGGTTCGTCCTGAGGTCTCTCCCTCCTGTGAAATATGTATGGGCACTGCCTTGCTATGTGCCCTTCCGTCCCGCACTCGAAGCATCTGGTGCGCGGACATTGCGCTACTAAATGTCCCGGCTTCCCACACCCGTGACATTTTCTCTCTTCCCTCCGGGGCCCATTCCTCGGCCTCGACGACTGTCCCGATCTTCTTTCCCTCGTCGGGGCTTTTTCTCCACTCGGCTGCCTGGTGTCCCTCTTCTTCCAACCTGTCGGGGCTGTCCATGGTCGTCTATCCGTCACCCGGGTCCAACCCGGTTCTTCCACATCCATCCGTGTCTCCTCCTCTCTGGCACTTAGGTCGATCATCTCCTGGGCGCATTCGAGGAACGATCGCTCTCTGGGCAGTCCGTCCCTCTTCCCCGTTTCTTTAGCCAGCTGGACTTTCAATATTGTCGACAGAAACTCCATCCTGGCTTCGACCTCTCCCACGCTCATTGTTTCCCGCATCTTCTCGGTTATGCGATTGTACTTCGCCACGAGTACTCCCGCATATTGCCCCCTTGACTGTCGTTGGGCCCGCCGCTCCCTAAACATTTGGAATATGTCCTCTTCCGGTGTCCACCTACCTCCTCCAAAAGCCTTCTTCAGCCGCTCCTTAATCACCGGCCACGGAGTCTCCTCGTCCGCTTGGATCTGGTTCAGGACGTTCCTCCTTACTCGGCACACAAGAGCTGCTTTTAGTTCTTCAGCGTCCCCTAGGTTCACCAGGTCCTCCGCCACCTTCACCTCGATTCTTGACATAAGACGATCTCCGCCTTTCAAGAAATGGTTGAGCTCGCCTACCTCGCCTCCGAATCGTTCCAGGTCCGCAATGGCCCTCCGTAAGTCCTGCGTGGTTGTTGCTCTTATTTTCATCCATTCCAAGGCATTGGCGTGTGCTTCTGCCAACGTGTCCCTTGGTAATGGAGGGATCTCCTGGATCTGAGGGATCTGTGCTACCTGAGGGACTTGAGGTATCTGAGGTACCTGAGGCGCGATCTGGGGTACCTGATTGATCTGTGGAATATCCTGAGGTTGAGGAATTTCCGGTACGCTTAGTACTCCCGGTCTAATCAATCCTTCTGTCGGCATTTCACCTTTTCCTTAAACACCAAAAAAAAAAATATCTACTTAAAAAAAAATTACTTCCCTGACGTTGTCCCGGGTTTCGGCACCAGTTAAGCGTCGTCGGACTTAGAAAACAAAAAAAAAGAAGGAAAAGGGAAAAGATGTAACATACACGACTTCTGAAATAACACTGCTTTATTCGTTCCATAAGCCTCCTTATATACACTTAGCCTGTTTATTTACATTACCAGATAGTATTAAGGCTGATACCGCCAGTCTCCGGTCTTTATCTTATATATATATATATATATATATATATATATATATATATATATATATATATATATTACTTTCAAGGAAAATATATATTAGGAATTACATGTTTCATCCATCTTAAAATTAAAATAAAAAAAAAAAAATACTACATAGACCGTTATTCGGACGAGTGCTATATAGGAGATGTAATTACCTATAAATTTCTGCTTTATATTTTTCTGATATTTGGTCAAATTTGTGTTTAGTTAAATCGATTTTATTATAAAGTCTATTACGATTTGTATTCGGTGTCATCTGATTTACAATTTCCAGTAATGTTTCCGACCTGATAAAGTCTGATATACCTGAGAACATTAAACATTTTAAACATAAAATTCACAAATATTTTGTACAAATGAATATACTTCAGGTCTTAAAACCTCTACTCACTGATGTTGTATCCTGCTTCGCTCAGTTTTTCAATTATCAAGATTCTGTTGTGTGAATTTCCTCCAATATCGCAGAAATTCGCCTCTAGCGAGAGTTTGGCGTGGGGTAACACTGAAGCTAATGTTGACCACAGACATTTCATTGCTGGTATCTTTTCATTGGGTAAACCGTTGAAATCGACTTTCATCTCCTTAGCTAATTCTGTTTTAATAATATTACTTATAAGAATAAGATTATTTAAAATTTTAAATAGAATACTGTTTAAATATACAAAATATAATAAAAATAATGGGAAGTATTTGATAGCATATTCTGCCATAAATACTGTTACAAAAGGTGAACTTTGTTTACATTCTTGGGTATTATTTAAGTAATCCTTACTTCTATTAGGTTTTTTATTTACATGTCAGGATAATAATCCCAATTAGTTTGTATTTTTCTTTCTCTCAGTTAACATGGACCGAATAAATTATAAATAAAACCGAATAGTTGTGATCGCCTTACACCAAGTTGGAAAGTGTAGGTCAGAGATTTTGAACACTTTGAAACCTTTGGGTATCAGCCGTTTGTTCGTGTACCGCACTATAAATAGATATAATGAGTCCCTATCTGTATGTGACAGGCCTCGACCGGGCCGTCCCCGCACTGTGAGAACGGCAAATGCAGTGAGAGCAGTGGCTGCTCGATGCAAAAGAAATCCCATTCGAAAACAACAAATCATGTCTCGGGAGATGGGAATTATTGACAGATTAATATCAGGAATGAAGAATGACAGGGCAAAGACTTACCACTTCCCTAAAAAAAAATTAGAGTAGATAGATGCAAAGTGCTCCATGGCCGTTACACCAATGGTCTTTGTTTAACGATGAGAAAATGTTTACAATTGAAGACAAATTTAATTGTCAAAATTATCGTTTGTACGCACTCAGCTGTAAAGGAGCCGAGGTAGCCATTGGAAGAATGGAAAAAGGTCATGACCCTTCCTCAGTGAAGGTTTTATTGAGAGTTTGCTTTGGTGTCACCACAAAGCTCCATTTTTATGAAAAAGAAGTTAAAACAGCCGCTGAAAACTATCAGGACGATATTTTGGAACCTGTTGTCAAGCCTCTAAATGATGGAAGTCATTGGGTTTTCCAGAAGTATTCCGTCCCTCAGGAAGCCTTATTCTCAACCCACTAGATGATCAGCTTTGGTCTGAACTGGTGAGGATATATGTTAATATGAACTTTTTTGTTTATTTTGTGTTAGTGAACACATACCTAAAATAGTGCCGTGCTATTACGATACTTGTACTGAATATATATCTAAATCAAAATACAATTGAATATACAAAGTATTTTTGAAGGAAGTTAGTCGACTGTTCTACATATCATGGGTGATAAATATTCAGGACGCAGTCTTTTTTTTTTAATTTAAATTTTTTATTTATGCCAACGTTTCAACCCAAACATGTGGGTCATCTTCAGGGCGTGGTTTGAGCACTGAGGTTGCTCGATTACATCGACAACCTCAGTGCTAAAATCACGCCCTGAAGATGACCCACACCACATGTTTGGGTTGAAACGTTGGCAAAAATTAAAAAAAAATTAAAAAAAAGACTGAGTCCTGAATATTTATCACCCATACACAGTATTTGTTTAGATTAAACAGTGAGGGGAGGAGAAATGGCCTTCATGATATTTTGTGTGGATATCTAGAACTATTTCAGCTAAAAATAAATGATTGTAAATTTAATATAATATTATAAGTTTATTATATAATTATAAGATGTGAATATCACGTGAAAAATGAGGGGTGATTGAACCATAAAATCTTAGTCTATGTTGATATGCACTAGCGGATCCAGGATTTAATTTTGGGGGGGGGGCTTCAGCCTGGAAGCTTTTTTTTTTCATAAAAATAACGATGATTACTTTGGAAAAACAGAAAGAAACTAACTATCTCTATGAAATGGTGTTTAAGTGATTCCTTAAGTCCTTTTAAATGTAATTACACCAACAATAATATTTTAAGAGGTATTTTTAAATTTTTTTTCTCCATAAAACGTGGTTATGTTTTACCATTTTGGGGGGGAGGCTTCAACCCGAAAGCCCCTCCCCCCCGTAGATCCGGCCGTGTTGATATGCAGGTAGTCTCGTAAGCAGAGATTAATATTTATTTATTATTATTATTATTTTTTCAATTCTCAGTTTTATGCCGGAATAAATTCACTGACCCGGACCGAGGTCAAGGGTACACTTTCTTGAATGTTTAATTTTAATTATTATTAGATTATTAATATTAATATTAATATAACAAGTAATAATAGACCTCAAGAGCAATAAAAAAGTTTCAATTTTCGAAAGAATAGTAGGAAATTTAAGCTTGTATTTTTTTTTAAGTAAGCGATTTTTGATGAATAGTAAGCGATAACTATAACATAATTTAATATAATTAATTAAAAATTGATTCCCAGTAAACTACAGACAATTTATAATGATGTAGAGATGGTTGACCGTTGAAATAATATGAGAAGGAGTTAGTCGAGGGTGCGGTCAAATAAATAATAAATTAAAATATATTAATTATTTTAATTTTTTCCGACGTTTCGACCCACTTTGCAGGTCGTCTTCAGGGCTACAAAAGATACAAAACATGTTGAAAATAAAAAATAAATATAAGTATATATAAAATAAGAAGAAGTTGTCAGATACAGAAATAAAAGATGGTATCAGAGATATAGTGGGTGACAATGTAGTTAAATATTAAGAATTATATATGTAGAAGATACAAATAAATGGAAAATAAGTATGAATAAAAATAAAAATAAAGATTTTTATTTTATTTTATTTTTATTTTTATTCATACTTATTTTCCATTATATATACTTATATTTATTTTTTATTTTCAACATGTTTTGTATCTTTTGTAGCCCTGAAGACGACCTGCAAAGTGGGTCGAAACGTCGGCAAAAATTAAAATAATTAATATATTTTAATTTATTATTTATTTGACCGCACCCTCGACTAACTCCTTCTCATACAGACAATTTAGTTAAAAATAAAGTTGAGTTTGTTGTTGAGTTATTGTTAAAACCATTTAAAGATGACTTTTGAGCGGATAAACTAAGCTACGTTCTGTTTAAAAAAAAAACATGAAATACTTATTATTTATGCGATTATTATTATTTATCCTTCAAATATACTACAGACATCCCCTTTTAGATAAATTTTCTTTTTTAGTAAGCTTTAAGTACATATTAATTAAGTTACGAGTTTATTACGAAACATGTTGAAATCCGTCTCAAGATAATTGGCTGCAAAGCTTTAATTTCTTTTTTACCATTGCCTGGGATGTATTATTATAAACATAAATTAATAACACAATTTTTATTTTTATTTATTACAATGAAATTGTTGAAAATAATGATTTCGAATATTTATCATCTGATGTTATAATAAAACTGAGTTTTTACTTTCACTTATCTATATATGTAATACATAGTAAGGTAAAGTATATCGTGAAAAATTTCAAATCCGAGTTTTCAACGGAAATGCCCTTTTTGAGGTCCTCTGAGTCCAAATAACCAAGTCCCATAAAATGGTCTGGTTGTATGTGAACAGTCGAGCTCAAAAACGAAAAGTCTTACGAAACTGATATTACGTATTTAAAATAGATATATGAAGCAGATGTTATTGCAATTATTTCCTTAAAATCGGATATGCCACTTTATATCAACGGTGAAACACATTTTTTCCAGAACGGCTCCAACGATTTTTATTAAACTAGGTGTATCATTGTATAATTAAGTAGTCTTTAATATCATTTAGGTCATATCCCCATTGATGTCACTTTACAGAGCTTAAATACCCCATGTTCGTATACGTCATCCTCTAAAGTACCTTTAATATGGTTTATTTAAAAAAAAATTAACTCTCTTTTATTGACAGTAACTATGAAAAATGGCTAAATATGAAGTTTGAAAGAATATGATAATTTGAAAGAGGAGTTTTATTTTTAAAAAATCATGAAATACTTGTGATTTTTATTATTTACCCTTCAACTATACTAAATACATCCCATTTTTAGATAGACTTTCTTTTTTAGAAAGATTTAAGTCCATATTAAGTTTATTACGAAATGAGTTGGATTCCACCTCAAGTTGTGTAACGAAATTAGGTGTTTTGATATTCTGTCATTTGAAAGTACCAGTGTTTTCAGCAAAAATGACTACAATAAATTATTAAATTAAGCTTTAAGTTACTTTTTCCTTTCTCTGGGACATGTTAAATAAACATGAATTCTAATAAATTTTAAATAATGACTTTTAAAATATTCATCATTTGAAATGGTAATGAAACTGTATATTGTATTAAGATCGGTATTACAGAAATTGATAACTAAGTATTCAATTAAATAAAATTCTATTATTTACGATTTTGTGAAAATAATTCAACCAATCAGCGAGCTTCTTTATTTCACACGCAGATATCTGGTTTGGAAACGTTTAATTAGTCACTTATAAATACTAATCAATTGATATAACAGAGATCTTAATAAAAAAAAAAAAAAAACAATTTCACTTACCGCTCTACTTTGAATAGAAATTATTTTTTGGCAATGTTAGGTTATTATAAATTTTCCTAAGTGCATTTTAAGCGGAGCTAAAGCTTAAAGCTTACAGATAATAAACCATTAAGATAAAAAAAAATACAAAAGTCCATTTATTATATCAACGGTAGGCAATAAAAATCTAGTTACTCCATCTGCTTCTATAAACCACACAATTTCAGTCTCTGAACCTTTCAGTTGACAGAATGACTAACTCCAATTTCATCATTTTTGAGTAATGTCATTACAGTGATTTTCTAGTTGGAAAAGTTGTATCTATAAAGACAGTGAGTAAGTGATTCAGGAGTAGGTGATTGCAGTGTTGAAATATAGAATTGTGAATAATGAATAAAACTTTACTACTAGAAACATCACTAAAATTAATAATGTAGAATATTGAAATTTGAGTTAATCATTCTGTCAACCGAAAGGCTCATATATGCCTAGAGAGATTTGAAAGTAGATCTCAATATTTAACCTTTAAATAATTATGAATTGTAGGACTATTAGTTATTAAACTGTTATTTTCCATTGTAAAGTTTACTTAAATGAAATTATGAGATTTTCAATGCCTGCCATCTATAGGTCAAAAGTTGC